CAGTGGAGGGGTGGGTGGGGAAGTCAGGAAGAAGGGATGGATCTGAGAAATGAAGTGGGGACAGTTTGAGGCTGTAGCAGTCATTTTGTTGGTTAAGCTCTTGGGTTTGAAGCTCCAAATATATAAGGTAGGGAGTATTCCATATGCATTGGTAGCATAGCTTTACATGCAAGTAATAGTCTTTATTTCTTGAATGATAAGTAATAATTCTAGGAAAAAAAGATATTCCCGTACACTCCTGACAGATAGTTGATTCAACAAGCAGAATTGGACCAAAGCTTTTTGTTGAGCTTCAGATTTGTGAGAAGAGAAGATTTATAGTTCAGCTGAAATAATAAACTGTCCATGTGAGAGAAGAGACAGCTGTTTAGTGGGGAAACTGAGGCATGGATGGTGTTAGCAGGTGTTGCTTTTTAAAGCCTTTAGTTTCCACTGCATTATTACATCAGAGGGATTCAGTAGTGGTCCAGCTCAAAGGGGAAGTGAGTACTGTGTTCTGGCATTTTTTCTAAATGAATTAAAGGTGGGGGAGTGATCTATCCTTTTATTGTTCAGTAGGTCTAAACTTTCTACATTGGAACAGGGAGGAAAAAACAGCTTTCATACTCACAGACCCTTTAAATAGAGAGAGAGTTTAAGTAACAAGTAAAATTTCCTTCCTTTTATTTTTCTCCATTTTCAACAAAAGTAAATTATTCTTTGAGAAACAGTACTGAAGGGAGAGAACTATTGCTTCTCTAGTGTGTTTTAAGAGATTCTTAATTCCTTCTTTCCTTTCTCTGATACGTTCAAGGTATTTTGATTACAACCATTGCCTCAAAGGGGGAATTGCAAAACTGGCCTGAACTCTTACCAAAGCTTTGCAGCCTGTTGGATTCTGAAGACTACAATACATGTGAGGTGAGGAAGTTTGTTTCAAATAAAAATTGTTCTCAATGCTTATTTTATTAATAAAATACATCCAATTTCTTCTTCAAAGAATAGTAAGTCCTGCTGCTGATTTCTTTCTGTCTTTGCCTTGTTCTCATTCTTTAATAGTGACTTAGCTTTTTGTCTTAATGAGTTACCAATTTTTTTTTGTTACTTTTATTGTAGGAACTTTAAAAATCTCCATGGGCAGAAACATTATGTTAGACTGGTGTCAGAATTTGTTCTTTTTAGATGACTTCCACATCCACTGATTGATGACACTAGTTAAGCCTTGGTTGATGGATTTTAAAATTTAAATTATTTATACAGTTTCTATTTCTGCCATCAAAACAGATGAATAGGTGTCTCCCAGGCATCTCCTATGAGTAGTTTTCTTATACCACTTGATTTTAATTACTCTGTATTGGATCTAGAGAGCTGTTCCTAGACTGTGTGTGTTTGTTTTTATGGAGATGTGATAGCAATAAGAGATGCCCAAGATGAGATCTAACCAGTCATGGCCTAGTTAGGCTATCCAAATCATCTAGGTACACAATTGTCATGTTCATATTTTATGAGTGAGGAGAAACTACCTCAAAATAAAGTTTTAAATTAGCCTTTTAATAATTGTATTACTAGTGATTTAAATACAAGGCAGAGCATACGAACTGCTGTGGTACATATTTGAAATTTAAGTACAGATAAAGAATACATTTGCCACATTCCACATCAGTTTGAGATGGACAAAAGTCAGGGCTGTCTCTGGAGGGGGCAGCTGCCCTGGGCCCTGCCCTTTGAGGGGCCCTGCAGAGCTGGGTGGAGCGGCTGCGGCAACTCCCCCGCTCACCGCCGAATCTGCCACTGGCTTCCTTGAGTCCATGGGCAGGGCCCCACACAGGCTGATTTGCCCTGGGCCCCGCGCTCTGCTTGGATCATCTCTCACAAACATTCTTTATAGTTCGTATATTTTAACAAACATGGCAAGAAAATTACTCAGATGGGTAAACTACAATTGCATGCCAAAGTGAAACCTTCACTACCATCTACCCACTCATGTTGTGATCTTACTGGTAAGAAAAACTAAAATAACCCTTTTTATTATGAAATTAAGCTGAAACTTAACTATCCTTTGAGGTCCTTGCTGCTATTAATACACTGTGTTCCCTAATAAATATCAAATTCAACTGCTTATGGAATTTGGATGATTTTATTTTTTTTGCAGAAAGAAAATACATTTTTCTATCTTTATAGGGTGCTTTTGGTGCTCTTCAGAAGATATGTGAAGATTCTGCTGAAATCTTAGATAGTGATGTTTTAGACAGACCCCTCAATATCATGATCCCTAAATTTTTACAATTCTTCAAGCACAGCAGTCCAAAAATAAGGTAAGATTTTATTTGCAGCACTGCAATCTCAAAATTAAATTTAATGTAGGTAATTTGTAAGAGGCTTTATGGAAAGTGTTTTTTAAAATGCATTCAGTCAACAACAACAAAAATGTAATCCTGCCTGTCTAAGGGGCGGACGAGAGAGAGAGAGCCCTTGGGCTTCATTTTTATATCTGTAACTTTATATATCAGATTTACTCAGTTAATAAGTAAAAATATGGTATTTGCCTTTCAGCCTGCAAACAGCCTACAGGATTTTGAAAGGCTGACAAGGTTTCCTGGCTTGCTTAGCACCAATAATATGATTTAGCAACTGAAACGTAGTTGATACATTTCTTGCTTGTGAAGTATTACCCATAATAGAATCCAACTTTTCTAAAGCTATAGTGACTGTCTTAGGAAGAAGAAGAGTAAAGAAGTAAAATGTTACTTTCCTTAGAACACTTTTTACGAAGGTTGCTTTTCTTTGTTATTTGAGATTTTTAGACTATTTTCTTCATTTTGATTGGGTCAAGTTAAAAGGGGATTCATTTCCCTGTCACACTAAATAACGTAGAACTAGAAATATTTGCAAAGTGATAACTGAATAATACCTATGGCCTGCTGATTAGGCATGAATTAGTGTGCCCATCAGTGCCACATTTTGAAGTGTTTATAGGACCAAAAAAAAATCCATGTTGATTTGTTTTTAGAGGGGCGATGTAATATTTGTCAAGGAAATAACTAGCTGTTAGTACAGTGAATTTATTTTGGTTCCATATTTGGAAGTTATTGTCTAAATGAAAAGATAGAGGGTTGCTGGGGAGACGCTATAAGAGAACATATGCATATGTTAAGTGACGGCTCAAAAGAGATGATCCATAATACCAACACTTGGAGAGGGAAATCCAAGAGATAAGAGATGGTGGTGGGGATGCAGTTGAGACAAAGTTGTGGTGTTGGTTTTCACCACTGAAACATCAAAACCTTGACTAGATAAAGTATGAGGAAATCCACCATAAGGATGAGCCTTTACTCTCTAATAATGGTATGAAGTTGGGGGCCAACATTTTTTATTTTGTGGACTCTATTCTTTTTATCATGCCATCCAGGCTGTTTCATCTGTTTCAGCTCGCTGTAGGGTGTGTTAAATCAGTTTGGAGTTTCTTGCATGGAGGGGATCTGTGAACTGCATCCTACCTTTAATTTATGGTCCTTGGTGGTAGTTTTCTAAGGATAGGAGGTGTTAGTAATACCATTAAATATTTATGCTAAACTTCAGGAGAATTTTTCTTAGAGGCGAGCCTCCAGAAATGATCTAAGCAGAATTCATTTACGATTTATGATTTTTTTTAAGCTTCTGGAGACACCATGCAAATTAATTCTGTTTTCACTTTCAAAAATATGTGAGACAACTTTAAATTTTTCATTGACCACTGTTTTTATGTTCTTGTCAACATTGATGCAGGACAGAGCTAGGAAACCATATTTTTTTTAAGCAGAAAGAGGCTGGTAATTGATAAGATCACAAATCATCTAGTGATCCCATGTAAATGTCTCATAAAACACATCCCTATATCTTTTAAGTGATTTGTCCACTTCTGTAATTGTCTGTCTGTCTATTTATTCTTTGAGACTTGAAGTGGTTGTGGCTTCCTTTATTCCCTGTCCTCCATACAAACCATTCCCATTAAATATAAACAGTACTGTTTTTGCAGACTGTTTGCTTGGCAGTAGGGAGACAGATTCATTAAATATTCATCACTTTGGTGTGTAAGTCCAGCATTCACACTAATACAAAGATGATCGTTTTGAGACATAATATTCAGTTGCATAATATTTCCAGACCTGACACTTCTTCCTAAACTCAAACTGACACTCATTCCATTGCTTTTCATATCTTTTAATCGTGTATTTTCTTAATATTGTGCTTCAGGTTAGCCCATGATATAGTATAAGGTACGTCATAAAAATGCCTCTAGTTTCTTCAAGAGTTTATGGGGAAATCTTGGCATGCCCATTTTCTGGAAAGCAAGGTGAGTTTTTAATCGGGGAGCTGTCCAACCTCAGAGCAGAAGAACCCGATTCTACCCTGGCTATTACTCTGATTTAGTATGGAAAGATAACAGGCTGAGAGGATCTGTATATGGTCTAAGGCATAGCATCAGTATGCGTTCATTCCATCTTACCCCTTATCCTGTAGAAATACTTATTGTATTTATTGGTTTGTATGAATGAAGGCTGAGGACTTCATTGTTCAGTCTTTCTGACTTCCGACAGTATTGGAGCAAACATAATTAAGATGTTGTAGCCTATTATCAGGATTTAGTCATAGCCAGTGTGTTGTCCTGCTGCTCTCACCATTTCTGCAAAGTTCATTAGATATAACAGTATATTTTTTTTGCTTTGCTCCCCTTCCCTGCAGATTTTCTTTTTTCTTCTAGATCATTATATGCAGTTTATATACATGTTCTGAGAACAGTTTCTTTTCCATCTATTTTAAGTAACAGTTTGTTCTGCTTTTAGGTCCCATGCTGTTGCCTGTGTCAATCAGTTTATTATCAGTAGGACTCAAGCTCTTATGTTACACATTGATTCTTTTATTGAGGTAGGTGGCTTTTCTCTTAAATTGCATGTTGTGTGACTATTCTGCAAAATAAAAAAGTGCTTTTACACTTCCCATGCTTCCTCTCCCAAATCATACTAAAGAGTTAAAGTTGTCTCTTGTCCTTTTCCCTTAACCCTCATTGACTGCTATGGATTCTGATCTCTGGCTTGTTGTAAAATGATTTTTACAGTAATATTATTATTCAAGAAAACAAGTAAAACTACTTTGTTAGAAAGACTCGTCAATATTGTGGGTGTGTGTGGGGGATAAGCATGTTCTTCTGTTGTTTTGTTCAGTTAGATTGCATCACAGCCAGATTTTCAAGTTGTGCACAATCAGGAAAATTGTAAATGCTATTGTAATTTGTAAGTGTTGTTTATGGTCTAATTTTTCCATTTGGAGCTTTATTGGAAGTCTATGTTTAGACATTTGCAGTAATTATATAGACAGTTGTCAAAAGCCAATTGTAGAAAAAATGAGATCTTTCAAATAATAGTCTTCAGCAAAGATCTTGATTGATGTCTGTAGGTACAATGATGTAGATTGCAAGTGTCTTCAGGGGGTAACTGTACTCTGAATAGGGATTCACCTTTACATTTTTGTACTTGTGCCATACTGTTTCAGGTGTGGATTCAACAAATTGGTTAGCCTAACAAAGAATCACAGTGAAGATGTGGCAGCATGGATTTTAGTGCGTCTTTGCAATAAGAATGCAAACACTCCAGGGAGCCATACCATGGTTCCTAGTATGAACTAAAGCACATGCTGTCGTAGAGGATGCAGACAGAAGTGACAATTTTTGCCCTGTCTGGTCACGGAAAGCAGTCTGTAGTTGTTACCAAACATGTTCATGGCTATAGACAGCTTAAAAAGGCCAACCAGGTGAAAATCTGACTCCTCATTGCATGAGATATCAAGATGAAAACATTTCAAAATATAGCATTTTTTGTAACTTGTGTTTGTGAAGCTCCTAGGCTGTCACTGTTTTCAGAATGGGTGGGGGGGAAGGGAGCGGAGGGAGTTCAGTCTGGGGGGTTTTCAGCCCCCCTGGATGGTGGAGTAAGTGAATTGGAGCCCCCCTGAGGAGGGGGGTCGGGGCTCCAATTCACCTACTCCACCCTTCAGCGCCAGCTGGGGAGCCCCAAGACCAAGCCTTTTCTATTGCCTTTACCCCATCCCATTCTGAAAACAACAAGCACTGGCAGAGAGCCTGGTTTTTCCTATGGGAACCTGGCTGTAGGCTCCCAGCCCCAGCCAGATTCCCCTCCCCCCTGGAACCAACAGTGAACTTCTGTTTGGTCTGGGGTAATGTTGCAAACTCAGAATGCTTTGCAGAACAGGTTCTGAGTTACAGCTGGGAGTTGCACCTCTCTCTGTACCTGTGCTGTGCTAACTATTTTTAGCTAATGCATATACCGTGTTTATTTGCCTGTGTAGAGACAGCCTTGTGCATGTCTGCTTTTGAAGTTACACTGAGCTTCTAGAGCGTCTATACAGCCTCTAGTTGATCTGCCCATATCTTTAAAAGGCAGTAAGGGTGCCTATTGTTGAATTGTGATGACAAATTCAGATTGTGTTGTACATGTATTCTGACCTTTTTTTCCCCCCAAGTGGACAGTGTGTTCAGCATTCCTGTAGCGTAGCAGGAGCTGTTGTGAATCTGAGATGAACAAAGTTCTAAATATGAGTAACAAGAAATCTGCATATACATGCTCTACTAGATTGTTTTTCATTAAAACATCTCCATGAGTACTGTATTAGAAGTTTGTCTTGAATTTGTCCCCCTCCAGCTGCTACAGTAGGGAAGATAAATTGGAGGGGGGAGGTAGCTAGCCCTTTTGCATTCTGCTTCCCCCCAACTTTTTTCCCTGGCAGCCCCTTCCCCCTGTCCTTACTGTCAGACCCTTGTCTCCCTGAGCGCATGGAAGCAAATTTTGAAAAAATCTGACTTTGAAATAAACATAGCTGTAATAATTTGTGTATAGTACCCATATACTTAGTTCATTCAGAATTGATGCATGTTACCTTGTTTGAAACTGCTGCAAGTTTTAGTACAGGTAATCCTTAAACACACTTTTGAGCAGCACTTTAACTCCTACTTATACATAGTACAAACTGGGTTCAGCTACATGTGCACTTTACTGTGGAGTTGACTAATTAGTTCCTCAGACAGTACTATATTACGGCGGAGTACTTTACTGTATTGAAACACACCTATAGGTGGTGACCAGGGGTATAAATTGTGCTGTCAGCCCAGCCAGCCAGGGGCTTGCTTGGCCCTGGCTCAAATTGCTGCTGTCCCCAGCACATGTATAAACACTGTGCCTGGGAGCAGTTGACTGTGGTATGAACTGCTCCAGAGTTTATTGCATTGCCTTAATTTCATGTGTAGATGTGCCCACTGTGCATGACATTAGTCCAAAGCCAAAGGCTTGTCATTTACCGTATAGTTCATTAGGCTGGCTCCATCAGCGTTGACACTATTTCAAGCCATGTTGCATGGTGACCCCAGAGCTCTGCATTGCTTTAGTATGTGTATGTATTCCAGATACTGCCCCCTACCCCAAATGTTCAGTGTGTTAATTAGCCCACACTCATGAGTGGAATTGGGTGTTCTTGTCATGAATTCTGGAATGCTCCAAAAAAGGTATAAGCAGATGAGGTGCAGGGCAACGTTCCCTGGCTTCACCTTATGGTGGGGCCATACTAATCATGTGCCAGGTTGAGAAGGGACAAGAGAGGGATTCTGGGTGAACTATTTGGGTCCCATGTCGTGATGTTTGCCAGCCATTTAAGGTAAAGAAACAGGAATCATTGGAAAAAGGAAAGAAAAAGGCACAGCTTGGTTGTGGGAGTGAAGAGGAAGTGAAAATGCATGTTTTATAGTGGCCCACCATGACTTTAAAAAGAATCGGCAGTGAGGGGGACTGTGCTTAATGAGCATTACCATGTGTTTTATTCAGATGTGCTGCCTTAACCTGTCCAGCATATTTGCCCGATATGGGCCATGTGTTTTGCAGTCATGTTCAGTGTTGGCTGCATTTAATCAACTTCATAGTTGGTTTCCATTACTGAGCACATGCTGCTTTTGGCAGCAGTTTAATGATAGATAGGGACATACTCAAATTATGTTTTTTTGATTTTTTGCAGAAAACAGTGAAATATGGTGGTGTCCTGGAAACACTGAAAAATGGGAGTTTCCACGATTTTGCTTGAAATTGCCAGAATAAAACCTTACTAAAAAATTAAAATGCTGGCTCCTCAGTGGGAGCCAGCAGCTGCTGTGGCCTGGCCTTGCGGCCCACCAGGGTAAGGGGAGCAGTCAAGATGGTGACTGCTCTCTCACTGGTGATTGGTCAAGAGGGCTGCCCTTCTTGTGGCCCCACCCCTTAGCCAATCAGGAGTGAGGGGCGGGTTGCATGAAGGGCAGCTCTCAGCCAGTCAGCAGCAAGGGACAGGGGGCTTGCTCTGAAAATGGTGCCAGGTGCCATAAGCAGCCTGCAATTTTTCCTTTACCTTGGTGCCTTTTAAGTGGATCCCTAATGGTAGACAGTGAATTTAGCGAGATTTCCTTGTATGTAATTATAAGACAAGGGGCTTTTTTCCCTTGGCCTATTGTGGGGGAACCTCGTCTTGTATTTGAGTAAATATGGTACATGACCATAGAAGGCACTTTCAGTATAACTACTACATGAGTTGCTTATCTTTTTTGTACTGTGATTTGTATTTACTTATAAATAATTTCCTTTTCTATTTGGGGTAGTAAACAGCTGTATTGGGTTTTCAGATCTATCTTAAGGTAATTTGTGGTTTAGGCAAATCATAACCTGGAGATGGAGGAATATGACCCTGATCTCCTTTTAGATTTCATCCTGTGTTGTGGTCCATCTCCATGTTTTTTTTCCCTCCGCTATTGGGCGTGAATAGTAGAACCCACCTGCCTTTTCCCTGGACAGGGAGCAAGACTCAGATGAATAAAGCTTGCTTCAGTCTTACAGGTTCGCCACACTGAGCATTTTGCTTAGAGTTTGCAACTGTAAAGAAACTTTGTATCTTGATCATGTCTTTCAATATTTTCTATATAGTTACTAAGATTCTGGGTCAAGTTTCTGGGCCCTAAGCTTTCAGTGAACAATAAACAGATTTCCAGGAGTCAGTATAATTGTGATACTAATGCCTTAATTCAGTTCTAGTTGATACATATTTAAAATATTACTGAGTCTCTTTGCAGCTGTGTAGAAACTGGGCATGTCTATATGAGATGCTTACTGCACAGTAGCTCATTACTACTGCACAGTAGGGGTGTAGTAGCTCATTACTACTGCACAGTAGGGGTGTGCAAAGCAGGCAGTATTTGATTTGGATTCGGCCTGATTTGGGGGGGACAGTGATCACTGTCCTGATTTTGATTTGGTCAAATCTGGAGATTCAATTCTGATTTAGAAAATCAGCGATTTGGCCATAAGCACAGCTTTATATGTTTTTTTCTGTGTACCTTGAGGTACCAGGCACAGCTCATGAATGCTGAGATGGTGGGGCAGATGGAGTGTCCCACAGGAGTGCAGGGGGTCCACTGCCCGGTGTGTGGGGACTTCCTCCCCGGCTTGGCGATTGGCTGTGGGGGGACCCTGGGTGCCCCCTCCAGACCCAGGAGGCACCAGTTGCTGAGCTGAGGAGTGTGTGTGT